TGACGCCTGCATTTCGAATCGGATTGTTTTAGCACAATTTAGAAGGGCTTTAACCGCTATAGATATTTGAAATCACGGACAAGGCTGTAGGTTAAAATAAATACCGTACCTCCCCGCGTGTTATTTGCACCTAAATATATTGTGCAAAACGAGTCACATATACCTCAAACTCACCCATCCGAATTATTTATATCGTTGTGAAACTCTAGCGTCTCTGCCTAGTATAGCGCACAAAAACAGCAAATTACGTTTTGCATTCATAGTTCCATATTGAGTTTTGAACCTCCGGCCCAGTGACCAAATCTGTTATCTGTAAGTGGCCCACTCAGAAAGGTAATACCCCTGCTGTATACGAATTTAGTTGAAAAACCTTGAAAAGATGGGTGTGAGGATGTGAAAGTCTGAAGAATTGCGGTTTTGGTGATGACTATTTTTTGCTGCCGCTGTATTTTCCATTGGGATTCCGGTATATTGTCGGGAAAATTTGAACGTGTTTTGGTTCCGGACTGAGCACAACGACAATACTGCACGATCGACGCCAATATCAAGGATATCGAGCCCTGTCGGTGGTGGATGACCTCGGTCCTATCTCAAATTTGGCCTCGTTCACATTACTACATGATTGATGTGTTGTGCTCGACGACTTGTGCTTGATACGGAATGAAATCCCACTCTTCTGAAACTCTATTCTGTGGCTTACACAGTTTGTCTGTTTTTACCACTGGACAGTAGATGGTGATTTCTTAACCTTTCTTCCATCCTTATTTATTTGTCAAGCCCTCCTAAAGTATCTGAAACATTGCTATCGACTTTCAGTGAACTTTGTCTACGATGTGACTAGCCTTTTCTGGATACTTATCACCAAAAAATGCATGATTATGTCCATGATTTATTTATATGTATGCTCGTACATTGTTCTTTTATATATTAGCATAAAAATCCCGTGAAGTCAATTCTATAACTAATAGTAAATGGATAAACTACAAAATATCCGGATAGTAAAGATTATAGATATCCGAACTAACCCTATTTCCTACTTACTCCACTAGTTCAGTGAGAGAGGGTGAACTACTATATTGTTATGTCTTATTGATCATTTTTTCATACGTCCATTTAACATCTAACGCTGGCTGCATTGCCGTTAAATTATTCAAAATGTCGAAAATAAACGTTTTCCAATAAGTTGAATACTACTAAGCCTTTTTTATGTTTTATAAATAATAATAATTAGAAGCATTGACATTGACTAAATTTATTTTTAAGCTGAATCAGCATCGTAGGTGTCGCTGCTCGAAGACCTTTCGAGGTCCTCGCGACTGCTGTCACACGGTTCCATGACATTTGAACCCATGACAATTGCACCTGTATGCTATTGCACATTGGAATTTTTTTTGTTTCACGGATAGTTAAACCCATACTAACCCTAACCCATGGGTTTTAGCACCCGCATATAGATTGAACCCGTGGATACACGCATGGGTTCAAATGTACATGGGTTCAAATGTACGGTCACCCTGTCGCACACATAAAGTTCGTATTTTTTATTTACTTTATGATATATCTTGCCATATTTCCCGTGATATATTTATATTGTGTTGACAAATAAATAATGATTAATTGATTATCCCGAGATTTGTAAAATCCGCACTGTCCATGGCAAGCGTAACTATGTAGACTGTAGAGTAGAGCATATCGATCGTCATGCGTTTCTGTATTGTGGTCCAAAAACAAGAGGGGAAAAATATAAACGCGTTTCCTGTAACGGTTTAATATCTAAATTTGGCAAGAAGATGCAACCAATACCTATATCTTATAGCAGGGGTGTGCAAACTGCGGCAATAACAAAAAGGAAAAAAAAAATTATGCGTCCATGACAAGCATGTCGCCATTCGTTTCTGTATTGTGGTCAAAAAACGATAAGAGAAAAATATAAACGTGTCTCCTGTAACGGTTCAATATCTGCATTTGGCAAGAAGATGCAACCAATGTCTTAGAGTAGGGGTGTGCAAACTGCGGCCCGCGGGCCTAATGCGGCAATACCAAAAAGAAACATTTATGTTGTGTATCAACTACTAAAAAAGCTATCTTAAATAAAGGTGCAGTCCGCGGCTTCACCCGGTTACATTTATATGGCCTTCCTGTAATAAAGGTTGCACACCCCTGGCTTAGAGTCTTAGCCTCTATACATGCTGGACCGCGGAAAGTAAATTAGCTAGAGTCTACTCAGTCTACCAAAAAGTTGATGAGAAACTTGAATTCGAAGTTGTCACAAAACCGACATTTATAGCCATAGGTAAGAGAATAGATTGTCAACAATGTCACAGTGTATTGTACCGGTACCATTCTTAAAAGAACCTCAAACTGCTGAACTGTTATTGCTCTTTGACTTCCGCGGGGTTTTATCCGTTTCATATTTATTTGTGATTGCTGCACAAAACAATTTTTATGTTTCTTATATTCGTAACTGTAAAGTATATTAATAATGCTACTGTTCTCATTCGCCCGTTTTATTATCATATGGCGTGGGTATCTCACCAAGACTCGTTTTTATTTTTATTAACCTTATGCGTGTGACACCAGGCACGCGACGTATCTGTACTTCTGGGATGGAAATACGCAAAATATAGTTTATTATAGGTTAACACTACGAAATTGACAAAAATGCATTTTCTTTAGACTTTCACCAGTAGATATTTGATTTAATTTATATTCAAATACTCTTAATTATAAATGGATTGTTCAGAGACGGTGGAGGTTACTAAGATTATTAATTGTTAAATCGCGTCTTATAGGAAATAAGATGAATCAGAATACTGACGCGTATTATATTTGTTCGCTGTAACGTGATGGCCGACTCATGATCCACGCATAAATCGTGGAAAAAACAATGTGATATAACTATGGATTTTGTATTAGCTATCGTCTATTGAGCTAAGATTTTTCGAAAATACCACGGCGATTTGGAAAGTCCAATTTGCATTGATACCTAAGAAAGCTTGGTGTCTGCAATAATTATTTTCTCTTTTTTCTGAATCAGAATGGCTGTTAATGGTACATAGATGGATATAATGCCTGAATTGGCACAGAAATAGATTGGGACAAAACTGAGAGACCATACACATTGGAATATTGTGTAAAGGATACGTCCTAAACCTGATTAGTTATGCAACTTGGAGCCAATCACAAAATACGCAAGTAACGCCGGCATTGGCATGTCGTATCAGTAGATAGTTAGATGTTGTCCCGGCGCTGATTTATAGCTCATTTCCAAGTCCTCTCGGTTTATGGAGAAATTTAAGATGTTTTGGCATTACTTCAAAGTTGCTTCTAACGAATTATCATAGCAAGTGGATTATTTTAAGTTAGATTCATATTATCAATAAGATGGGCCGAAAGTTCCCAGTACATGTCCACGCTTGACAGCTATGGCATCGTGATTTCAAAATAAAAGGTTAAAATCTGTAAGATTATCTCAGTAATTCTGTTGTTCGAATAAATACTAATAAACTGCCATACCACCTGAGTAGGCAAAAAGTTTATCCATTAAGCGCGGATCCGTATCCTGCGATTTGTACGTTAGCATGTTGAGAGCGTTGTTAACAAATACTCGAGTAGATGTCGGTTACAACTGAATAAACATAAGTTTATGACGTTTATATTTCATAATTATTGGAATTTAATCATTTTATGAATATTGATGAATTCCTTATTAGATTGAGCAATACAATCAACAATGAGTAAAATCATTACGATAAAAATTATTGAACGAGACATCAGAGGTACTTTTACAGATGTTCTGTTTAAATTTAATCGTCAGTGTATTGCCTTAAAAGTAGTTTTGATTTAATTGTATTTGATATAGGCAGAGAGAAAATGGGCCACGATTTGATCGTTTCAGTTACAGGGATTAGATGTTGCAGTCACTCGTAGAATAACACCTATTTTATCCATACTTATACTATGTATGTATTACTACCCACCAAGAGATATCTCGTGTGTCGGATTTTGTAAGTGTGTAGCAATAAGCACTAAGCAAGGACGGTTACCACTACAAGATAGCCATCCCTATCTTGAGCCGAAGTTTAAAAAAAACTTCAAAATTGTCAGATTACGGACTTTCGGAAAATTATATATATTTCAGTGCGCCTGAATATATTTCCGGGTTTTGGGTTCAGCTCTTTGGTGAAACAGCCATTTCAAAGCATACATACTTCGTTGAGTGAATTTATTGCTAATGTGCAAAAGACAATATACGATTTTTTGCTCGCATGAAATTAGAAAAAAAATTAGGCATTCTGATGCCACTGCGAATAAAATTGATCACACTGCTCTTGGAGTGAGACAATAACTTTCGCATACTGCAGGAGTTATTTTAGGATCGTTTGTCGATCAAGACACACGATGTTCGGCGCGTTCATTTCCTAACCTTGGCAGCGGTGAAACTTGCATTTGTACATATTTATATGCCCCATCAGATTTGCCCAGACTCAAACAGTGTATGTATATATCGTACTTTGCGCATGTACAGTACTGTATTCTTTCTGCTTCAAAACACACAACAGACGCTGTATGGAACTGGTTCATAGGAATTTTTTGGGATGTTAATAAATTCACTCAACATCAGACGCGATCGACTACTCGAGACGTGGCAATCGACGTTTTGGCTACCCCTGATACACAAGTCACATACAGTATATGAGTCTAAGCAAGCCTGATAGAGCATATTGTTACGTGACAAATGAAAGTTTTGCCACTGCCAAGGTTTGGAAATGCACGTGTCGGCACTGAGAAGCTATCTTACAATAACTTTTGCGGTATCTTTGGCGGAGTAAGTGTGGTAAAGTGTATTCGGTAGCAGTGGCATCAGAATTTCCAATAGTTTCTAATTCAAAGCTAGTAACAAATCGGACTTGGAGGAAATTGGAAGTAAGAGCTAGTTTTCATTGGGAGTTGTTGACTATTTTTCATTGTTATCTTGCTTTTTTGTTATCTTTAGAAAATAGGTATAATATGTGAAGAAGTCAAAATGTGAGTGCATTTGAAATCAATTTATTGCAACTTAGCTGTGCGGAATGAAGGTTGCTAAAAAACTTCATTATATTAAACGCTATATGAAAATATGGATAGCTCTTGTTATTTTCATATACTGTATACTGCAGCGTCAGTATATAATATCTGTTTTGAATAACTTAACTTTTCACGAAGATTTTGACTTGGAATACTTTGATGTAGACGACATCGATATCACTGAAACGATAGAATTAAGCCATTTACCCAACATGGCTAGAATAAAACGGAAAACAATTCTGGATTATAAACCAGGCCACCGCCCTTGTCGTCATTATCCTAGGAACTTGAAGGGAAATTTAACATCTAACATCAAGATCAACGTAACTCAAACTCTTCCGTGGGACGTTATAGAGTCTTCCATTTCCAGGGTTTACGAGGGAAAATTTTCTCCTAGAAATTGTAAATCACGCTACAATGTTGCAATCATAATTCCGTTGCGGAATCGTGAATCTCAATTAAAAGTATTATTAGCTCATATGCATCCTATATGGCAACGACAAAATCTTGATTACACTGTTTATACCATTACACAAGCAGGAGAGGGATTATTTAATAGAGCAAAACTTATCAACGTGGGAGTATCTGAAGCTACGAAAGGTAAGAATCACTGTATATTTTGATTTTCTAATAATACCAACTTGTGTGAAATGAGTTGTTTTGGATTAGTGAATTATTTTTTTAGAAAAGTCATGACTATTTTGTATAAATTAACGTTGTTTGTCTGGCCATACAAAAAACACTGCCTTATCTTAAGTTTTATAAGAAAATGTAGCCGCCATCGTCGCTATCTCTAAAAAGTATAATGAATGAAAGTCTACTTGTCGATTTTATTTTCAAATAAATTTGTCGCTTTAACGCCGGTTGTATATGACCGATATTATCTGCCAGGTCAAACTTAAAATATTCAGCCAGCTTCAACAAATAGGTTTCAAAGTTCAATTCCAAACCTGCAATCAAAATTCAACTTCTTTAGGGAAACAAATATACGATTTATATACCCTTTTACATCCAGTGAAAAAAAATTGATATATATTATTCTTCAATTTTACTTTCCAGAGCAATCCTACGACTGTTTTGTGTTTCATGATGTTGACTTGTTGTTGGAAGATGACCGGTGTTTGTATTGGTGTGACGAAGAAAATCCTCGTCATATATCGATGTATATGGACAAATTTGCTTATGAACCACTCTCTTATTCGACAACATGTCGTCCAGCATCATGTAAGTGCTATGGAATTTTATATTGACTGTTTACACAATTTGTTAAAAATTACTGCCATTCACGCTCATACAGGGTGAGGCAAACAAACCTCCCATATTCAAATTTTAGAAAAAATACAAGAATAGCCTCTATTAAATTTTTATTGCACACTCAACAAGGCATTTGATTTCTATTTTGAGTAAACTTCTTTTACAAAACAACCTATTAGAGATGGTCCCTCCATCTGCAATTCATAAGCTTATCCTAAAGTTTTCCATCAACCTCTTAGTGATTTCTCGCGGATTTCATTTTCTATTTTGAACAGAAGTGGAAAGTCAGGCGACCGTGCTGGCCATTCCATATTACCATGCAAAGAATTCAAATGCGTTGAAACGATTCCCCGCAAAACATTCATTGATTTTTTGCCGTGTGGGCTGTTGCTCCATCCTGTTAAAACCATAACTTTGCATTATTTCTAAGATATTTAAGTTTTGGCATGAAAACGTTTTGCAGCATAACGAACTGAAGTAAGCGAAACCGCCTGCTCGAAAAATTAACGACTCCAAATTGCAAAACTCGCAACTACGCACCACAGCGTACTCGCTTAATATGAAGAGGTCTTCCTGTAGCCTTACAAGGTTTTCTCTGCGTTCTGCCAAGAAGCGAAAATTTTGCTTATTGACATACCAGATTCGCTGTTAGTTTGTATAAAATTCGTAATAAATCACTTGTTTTTAATAAATCATGAATCACGAAAATAAAATGGCAGTTCATTAACAACATAAATTTACCTAAATTAGATAAATAACCGCAACAGCTTTGCCATAGTAAGAATTTAAAATGTGGTAACTTTTTCGCCTCAATATCATTCTTCATAAAATGGCACATATGTAGCAATACTCATAGACCGTTGTAAATAATAATATCAATAAGTTTCAATAGTCTACTGCACTATTTCGATAGTCGAATTTGAACAAATGAACTTCATTGATCACCGCCAACAACAACATTTCCTAATTAACAAAAATACCTAGAAGTATTAATATTTACCAATACTGTTTTAGTTTTTTTAGAAAATATTATATATTACGGCGGCGTGTCAAGTATGACACCAAAGCAGTTCAACAATGTCAATGGTTTCTCAAATTTTTATTGGGGATGGGGAGGGGAAGATGATGACATGTATTTCAGATTGAAAACTGCAGGTTTGTGATTTCTTTCAAGGATTGAAAATATATTAGGTTTGACTTAAAAATGACTTTAGGTTTATGATATCGCATAAAAGACTTCATAAATATCTTGTTGGAAAATAACTGGTAAATGCTTTCATACAAAATTTGACTAAATTTGTTTAAATCTTGATTGCTTTATACATTGGGTCTAAAGTTCGTTGAATACCTTAACAGCTCTAACCAACAGAGGCTGCTTGACTAGAGCACTTTCGGTAGTACGGTTGATCATGCCATGAAATTTGACACAAACAATTTGCAAAATGGCGATAAAAAGAAAAGGGCTAAAAGTATCTAAACTTGTGCCAGCCGAATATGATTACTCAGAATTATGATATTGGCGCACTGCTGTGCCTGCGATCTAGATCCCCCGCAGTTTAGTCAAATTATTAGATTTATATATGTTAACAGCTGATTTTGATTCTATATTTTTCAACAATGAAATATGTTATCGCGCTGAGTTATAAACATTGAAAGCTTTTCATTTTGATAACAAAATTGTTTTGATGGCAAAATAAAGACAGGTTATGACTGCTTTTTTTTTTCAGTATCTCCTCTTGAGTGATTGAGTAGCTAAACAATTTTATGGTGCATATAAAACCACAAGTTTCCTATTCCCTATGTATCTTCCCGTTAGATGAAAATGTTCAGTAATATACGGGCAATGTTGAGAATATCATTTTAATCGTAAACTTGTATTTTGGATCTCAAGAGACACTGCATAAAATATTTGCGTTTGACAAATTTTCTAGTCAGATTTGCATGGATATGTATTTCAAAAACGCCCAAAATTGTCTCGCATTAGTTCTGGCAGTTGATCAAATTTCTTTTGTTTCAGGATACGACGTGTCCAATCCATACGGTCAACATTGTTCATTTCGTATGATAGCGCATGAACACGAGTCTTCGAACGCTGAGAATGAAGCAAGATATACTCTGTTATATCATGCCGCTTCCAGAATGAGAAAAGAAGGCTTAAACACTTTGAGGTCAGTATCCTGGATACGTGCAATCAAACAGATAGACCCGAGTCCATCCAAATATTTGCAATCATATTTCGCCGAATTAATTAATAACCATATTCAACGCATGATCTGCTGGTGCGCTATGATATCGCTTGGCGTCGTTTTAAAAAGTATATAACAATAACAGATAATATCAGGAAGTTACATAAAACCGAAACCAAATGCTAATAATAAAAAACAAAATATTCTGCGCGCGTTTGCTCAAAGCGATAATATCCGCGGAAGTCAGGTCAGATGGAGGTAATTACTGTAACGAACGCCTCCGACTATTGTATGAACGTAAACAGATTATTCATCATTTGTAGGCATGCCACAAATGACAGGCCACGCTATATTAGTTAATAAACTAAAATACATCATATACAGAAATACTAATCTTGTCAGTAAGTATAAGTCCACCACCGCGCGGTCAGTCGAAAGCCGTCAAATTTGACAGCCACGAACACAAATGCTATACGCTTTCGTTTGTAAGGATTTTGAGAGATAGAAAACCCATCCAATTTAACTACAGCACGTCATATGAATTAGAACAAAAAACAATTGTAGAGGTTGAGTATTAGAATCAACAAATAATGGGCGCGACTGAACGTGTGGTGTACAATGTATTTCTTTTACTCTGCGTTATATGAAGCGTCTCGACTTTCGATCCACATTTATAAGTATATGTTTTTTGGAAACTTAACCAAAACTTTTCCGAAGACAAAATAGCGGAAAAATTATTTCATTTATGTCACTATTTACGACACTACCTAAAACTGCCAAGTAATTGCAAATAAAACAACAAAAACGATTCATTGGTTACAACCATGCTTGATATTCTGTCCAAGTAAAAGAGTGTATGAGGGACTGCTGAAATTCCAATTGTTGCGTCACTGGTATTACGGGAATTGGCCATTGTTACGGAAATGCACAAGCAAATCGTTGCTCGGGGAAATATATGGTGTACCTTGCTTGTTTAGAATACGTTTATTTAATTTTTTCAGATACAAATTATTGTCTGTAAAGAGATTTCCACTGTACGTCAACATCACAGTTGATATAGGAAGACCATCCATGAAAATGTTAAAATTTATGTCGAGAAAAATGTCCTGGACGGAAATATGCATTGCACGAGTTCCATGGCGAATGTAATTCACGTTTTATTTCTTTAATCGAACGATAGAAGTCGCAAGAAAATATTAGAAAAAAAAGGAATGACTGAAAGTCAAAATTCAGGAAGAACGAAGCAGATACCATAAAAATTTAAACTAATATTAAATGAAATTGACGATTAACGTCTATTTTCACGCTAAGACTTCAAATGTTGTATTACGAAATAAATTAAAAAAAAATATATATTTATTTCATACCACATTCGAGTGGCGATTGAACCGTATATCTATCCGTATTCTCAATTAGCATAAATTAATTTAATAAATGGATTAACTAGATTTAGTTGCCTTGCATTCAATAATTTGGAGTGTATAAAATATATTTTTTAATTTATATTTATGCAAACTTTTGATTGGAAGAAAAATACTACATGACCTCAAACCAGCTGTGTGTTTTACAACAGGAAGAATACAGTACTTTACATGCGCAAAATACAATATACACAGACGATTTTGAGTCTGATCAACCCCGATAAAGCATATTATCACGTAACAAATGCAAGTTTTTCCGCTGCCAAGGTTTAAAAATGAAATGCCGAATATCGCATGTCTAGACTAGAGTCTAGCGAGACTGATCTTACAATAACTTTTGCAGTATGCGAAACTTATTGCCTCACTCCAAGAGTAGTGTGATAAATTTTATTCGCAATGGTAGCAGTGGCATCAAAATGCCCAATTTGTTCTAAGCAAGCGAAGAATCGCATTTGAAGGAAATTGTAAATTAGATACTGAAGTTTGAGCAGTCATGTAACATTCATGGTTTGAGAATATTTATTTTTTGCTGTATAGATAATACATGAATACTTGTCGAGGTTTTTTTTAAAAATTTCAACACTTACGACTAAAAATCAGGCACATCTGAATTGTATGATTTAAATAAATCTTGAAAAAAAAGATGAAACATTTACTCCGGGTACAATTAAATGATCAAATCAACAATTTGGATGGAACATAAAAAACACAAATTTTGTGTCGATTTCAATAATAATGTGCGCACAAAGCCTTCTTATTGGCAGCGGTGGAATTTTTTGTATGCGTGTGTGCAGTTATCTGCATATTCAGTTTTTGTGTAGGACCTTATTACCGATCAGTCGATCGCGATCTATTTTGAAGATTTTAGTCGATCGCGGTCAAAAGCAGGTTGGCCACCCCTGATATATATGGCTCACATACGCCAGAGCCTATGCTCGAACAACTAGTATGTTGTCTCTATCATAAATTTGTAGTAGTTGTCATAAGATTTTAGCTAAAGTCTCTTCGGTATTATTTATGATAGACTAATGGTTCCCAACCGGTGGGAAATTTCACACTAGTGGGAAATTGAATGCTCCTCTAAAAATGTACGCACAACAACACAATTATTAAATATTATACAATGAAAATCACAATATATGCCATGAAGCGGAAAAACATTCCCATTCAATTAATCAAAACTTTAGTGAAATATCACGTTGTTGGGCATGATATTCTGATCGTGCTACGCAACTCATTTTGATCTTTGGTCGGCCGATAACAACCCCACAAGCATGTCTCGAGCGAGCACCAATGCTTTAAATTAAACGTTACGCAAGAAAATTTTCGTTGCAGAGTCGCAAAAGAGAACAGTTTTTATTCAAATGTATCGGAGATATTGGATAAGCACGCGCTCTGATGAACAAATATTTGACCCGTCCCTCCATTTTGCTAAATAGTTAATAAAAAGTAATGGCTTATGTAAAAATAAAGTACCTCATTTCCAATGGTTCTATGTAGCCCCATGTAGGCTTGCACGTAATTTACGGATTTACGGAATTATTTCGAGTTACGGAAGCGAAGTTACGAATTACGTAAAGTCGTAATTATTGGTCGAGCGTATTCGCGATTGAAACGAGCTCTCTTCAGAGCAGTCAATTCCGTCGATTGTAAAAAATTAAAGTTTAAGTAAAAGAAGTTAGAGTTCCGGTATTCGCAGCCGTTTTTCTCTCTCTCTTGTTAGGAAGATGGGGAAGGCATAACGCGTCATTTACTAACCTATTATCAACTTATCTAGGATGGCCAATGTACATATTAACCGTAGATAAGGAATAAAATTGTGTTGAGACCGATGGACGTCAACACACCTGGTTTCAACTTCTTCGGGTGAAATGACTAAAGAATGTAAGAGATCAACTTATAAAACATGCTGGTCTATTAGTAAATGCCGCGATAATTAATGTCGCGCTTATCAAACAGCAATATAAAGACGGAAGAGAAATTGCGTAATGAACCAACGCAACTTAGTCTTTTCGGCATCGGTAAAGCGATTGAGACGGCAGAGAAACAACAATACGACGGGATTTCCGCGAGATCCATTTTCTATTACAAAATCTTGATGTTCTGTTACCGATTTTATCGTCATATATCTGTCCGGACTTGGCCTTGCTCAATATGTTTTTCACAATGCCTCGCAATATGTCGGCCAAATAGGATTCCCTGTCTTTACCAAATGCGGCAACTTATTTTGATTTATCGTCGACTCGAATACCACCGGCACTCGACCAAACTTGTGTCAATCTTGGCAAATAGAATTGTCGACTTGAGTTAGAAAAATAAATTAATATTTTCATGAGTGCAAAATAAATGTCACAAAATGCATTATTTTGCGATATAACTTTGTATTTTCGGAGAAGGCATGTCGTATAAGTACGGTATTTTAAATAATGCGCAAATAATTAATATTTGATCTAAATTTATCGCAAATAATGTTATAACTTTTAGGCCGCGAAATGATTTAATGTAAAATGAAGCATGGAATTCGGAATATCGTCAATAAGTCGGCATCAATAATTATTATAAAATGCTAACTAAGTAGTAAAGTCGGATATTGTAAAAAACGGTGAAATAACAAGTCTTCGTCGCGAGGCAAGCAAAAGTATAATCAAACGAGAGAATACGCTTGTAGTTGATTAATAAATTAGCAACCCGGAATATTTATTTAATACGAAAGTCGTATTAATACGTTAATACGATTTTAAAAAAGTGAACTATCGTTTCTTAAATATATTACCAGTGTTGGTAATGATAAAATTGATCGCATAAAATTTGGTGATAAAGTGGATAACAAAAAATCAAAGCTAATACAAAAGATAAAAATCAGAATAAAAATATTTTGAATTCACTCCTTGATATTTGTCTTTAACATCTGTCGCCGGCGTGTAGTACTGCCGGGAATATGAAAACCAAACTTCGATGTCCCATTCGGAATAGAAGTGGATTAAATTGGTTGTTATGATAGGTTTAAATGTGTGAAAAAAATATCGCAATTACGGGGTCATTACGTAATCGATTTGGCCGTAATTACGGAATTGATTTTTGCCAATTACGTGCAAGCCTAGCCCCATGAAATGGAGCAACATATTTCAAATACCCATTTGCTTATTTATCAGTTTGCTAAAAAAAATGCAAAATAAAAGCAGGATAAGATTCGACAACATGGGCAATTTCAAATGAGTTCAAAGATGATATTAACTGCGTCATTTGTAGATGTCCTGCGAATAGCAAGAACCAAAAGTTCCATAACATCGGTGGGACATAAATGAAACTTTGTCTCGTGGAGTGTGATGATATTCTGCCGAGTAAGTCTGCGCCGTCAAAGATGAACGGATCTCCTTTTCCAATAGCAATGCGTATTTTCAAAAATTGATTCAGACTTCCGGTCTATCATATAAAAAAAACAGCAGGATTGATATGGACGGTGTAATGTTATGTAAACTTTGATGCGTTTTTTTGTAATTTTAAGCGTTGGATTGTTCTATTTGATGGATAACACTGATTTTCTTTACACGTCACTGTCTTTGGATTCTAGACGGCGCAATAAATGTTCTCACAGGGTATCAACCTCTACACCAATTGCAAGCCTTTATCATAGAGAGTCATACCAAATATTATTGACAGGAAAATTATTCTTTTTAAATTAGTCCGTATGTAATGGGAAATAACAACTCAGCCTAATCGGAAGTGGAAAATTGAGATAAAAAGGTTGGGAACCCCTGTGATAGATGAATAATGAAAATTGTCATCTGATACCCCCGTTTAGTTTCATCCCATATATGCCCCTCGGGCTCATTACATCTCATTGAAATTACGGTGTTCGATCGCAACAGATTTCGGTCATTTTGCTATCATAACGGAAATGTGATTCTGGAGGAAACATGCAGGTATAATCATGTTTTAATATGTTACAACCATAAGTATTTTCAAACGCGACCCATAGATAAAATCGTTGGAGAAAAGAGCCTCTTACAAGCGAAGTACATTGCTCTGTTGTTGAACATGGGACTTGGATTCGTGTACGATTATACCCAACCATATATCAGGTATAATGTTATGAGACGGTTTTCAAAATTCAGGTCGGTTGACAAACAGTAAGTCTCGTTGGTAATATGCAGTCGTGTTACAATTAGTATCTATGGATAAATATGCTGGTGAAGCGTAGGATTTACAGGCATTTACTCATCGTTAGAAGGAGTACAAGGTGAGACAAAAATGTTGTTTTTTAGACAGTGATTTGCAAAGTATACACTCGGTTCAAGTATTCCGACTAGGGATAATATTTTTTACAATGACGGCTATTGTGCCTAGGTACAATCCACCACGTGAGAAAGTCTGGCGTTGAGTTATTGAGTTATCCTGGTACGACCGATATCAAAACTCATTTTGCACTGACTGCCACTGATGTGGTTACAAACGTCATGACATAAGTTCTATAATTAACCCAATGTATTTCAGAAAATGCTCGTTTTATAGGACAATTTTGTCTGTCGCCGTGACTACCCTTTTCTGCTTTACTGCATTGATCAAATTACAATATCACAAGTATTTATACAAGTGAGTTACATAATTTTAAATTACTTTTTGTTGCTATGGTAAATGTCTGTGCTTTTGCATCCTAGAAATTTAGCGCTGTGGTTTTTACAAACCAAGAAAACGTACTGGCCACTTGCCTATGAATTTCAAACACGCCAAAGTATAAAATGGTTTGGGAGAAACAGGAGCTGATACCTAAAAGTAATATGATTCGCCAATTTTCAGGAACCGGAATTATTTCATATCCTATCCAGGGCTCCTCAGGGGGTTACGTTTCTCATTATTGTCAAAATTAGTCATGTTTACTCTTCTTTCTTTTCTTCTCTGCGTGAAAAATCTTTTTCGACACTAACTTATGTCGAAACAAAATTTCGGTCAAATTTGGAACCAGTAGTACCAAGATTCGATCTTTCATGCGAGGATATGCCAACACATCGGTCAATTCAAAAGTCTGAGGGTCGCGAAAACGTGGGTCGTGCTGAAAAAAGTTGCGAGAACACCAAATATACTATCATCCAATAATTTATTTTCGCAGCAGTGTAACTTCGATAGACACAGTTCATATGCGAAAAGGAACACCAACCGTTTCTGATACTGTCACCAAAGTAGACGTTCATGTTGATATAGAATCAGTTATTCGATGCAAATCACAAAGCATGGGGTGTTTCAATCTAGCGGTGATGAAGGAAAAAATTGATAGAAGTGAGCAAAGTTCTCTGATGTCATGTCTTCACGACTGTTCGAAAAGGTTAGTTTCACGAAATCGATCCTTTGGGCATGTATCAAATACGGCAACATCAGGGTAGTTTTTATTTGATACAAAGTGTTTAAACTATTTTAACATTTCAGTACATAAAGATAAGTCCCTCAAAGCTGTTACTCATTATTTTTTTCATATTGCTTCACTTTTCATCATTCGCTTAGCTAACACCTTACCGGTGCCAGTGCGTGATCTTCGCATCCATAAATTTGAGCCATACTCTTTTTTTCGATAAGAAAGGTTTAATACACAGGGAATATTTAGGTTTTCTGCTATACAAAGCCTTAATGCGAACCAATAACCACGTTTTTTACGAACCCCAAACCCGTTCTATCTATCTATACAATACAAGTATCAGGGATCACGTTTTCATCTAATAATATTTTAATATACTTCATGATTATAGTGCATTCTTACTCAATTTTCATTGTTGTTGCAGTACTTACCGTTACTACGGAAAAATAGAATCAACTTGCTATTGTGCGAATGATTCCAAACATTTGGTGGATATTCAATCATGGACATATTGCGACAAAACATCAAGACGAGATAAAAAAATCGAGATATTTCATATTACAGAATCGTGCCATAAAGGTCAGTAGTGAATATATGTAACGACGATATAAACGAGAATATCGGTTGGAAACCGAAGACTTATCGATCGATAGTTAGGGGATCCCCCAAAACAGAAACTGCAGTTTCGATTCATCCGCTCTTGTAACTTGCGCACTGCGCATCGCACACACACACTCGGCGGGTTTCAAAATTCTCTCGCTTTACAAAAATCTAGATCACTATATCAATAATTGATTGATAACTCGCTAATTATACGACATAATTCGCCCAAAATCAATAGGATTCTGGTCCGAGATAAGATGAATGCACATGCAGAATCTGGAGCAGATTCAATCCCGCTTTCGTGAGATATCGCGTGCATCTAACAGACACACACACAGACATACAGACAGACATACATACAAATACCTATCAATATACTTACCGATCTTAAGATCGATAAGTAATTATGGACTTTTCCGATAGCTGAGTCTGGACCAGGACCGCATACTAGAGCTCGACCGATATCACTTTTTGGCACCGATACCGATATATCGGCCAACTAGTGACCGATAACCGATATTGACATACCGATATCTACAACTCGAACCCGCAGTAAATACAAATAGAAAGAAACATTCAGTTTCAGTCAATCAAAAGTTTATGTTGAAAAATAAAACAGTCCTACACAGTGCTCGCATCATTAATAAAAGTTTCGCAGCAAATAATAAGAACACACATTAATGCACAAGAGAAAAACATACAGTAGTAGGTGGGAGTAGGCTTGCACGTAATTTACGGATTTACGGAATTGTTTGGAGTTACGGAAGGGAAGTTACAAATTACGTAAAGTCGTAATTATTGGTCGAGCGCTTTCGCCTTTGAAACGTGCTCCTTCCAAGCAGTCAATTCCGTCGATTGTAAAAACTCAAAGTCAAATCAAAAAATCAAACAAATAGAAGAAGTTAGAGTTCCGGTATTCGCAGCCGTTTTGAGCCGGCATGACGCGTTGCCACCCCGTTTGAGCGTTTGGTTTCACGGTTAAAACGATATTATTATAAGCGTTATCACCGTAACGCAATTAGCACCGACAGACTTTTTTGTCTTCACGATTTGGTATCTTTTTTATTCGGCGCTGATAATGATAAATAAGAATGTGTGATAGTTGATTGTAATTCCGAAAGGCGTATTTTTCTTTCTCTCCGTGAAACAGACATGAAACGAATTTTACCGCCGCTATAAGCGCTCAAAAGGAGAGGAGGCTAGGCTACTTTCTTTTCCCGATTCAATCACTTTTATTAATACAAATCACAGCGCATTAAAAAACAAAACAGAATTTATTAGCATTAATTTACAACAAGTTACGGGTAAGAATTTATCGCCCGCTAAATAATTATTATTTGATTTAAATTTATCGCAAATAATGTTATAACATTTAGGCCGCGAAATGATTTGATATAAAATGGAGCTTGGTAATCGGAATATCTTCAATAATTCAGCATCAATAATTATTATAAAATGCTAACTAGGCAGCAAAGTCGGATAATGTAAAAAAACGGAGCAATAACAAGTCTTCGTCGTGAGGCAAGCGCAGGTGTAATCAAACGAGAAAATACGCTTGTCGTTGATTAATAACTTAGAAACCCGAAATTTTTATTCAATACGAAAGTCGATTTTAAAAAAGGCAACTATCGTTTCATAAATATCCGTATAACATTATCGGTAATGATAAAATTGATCGCATGAAATTGGGACGGTTAATTTGCGAACGTGATAAAGGAAAATCAAAGTCAACACAATTAAACAAGATAAAAATCAGAATAAATTTAATTTGAATTCACTCCTTGGTATTTGTCTTTAACATCTGTCGCCGGCGTGTAGTACTGTCGGTAATATGAAAACCAAACTTTGATGTCCCATTCGGAAAAGAAGTGGATTCGAATGGTTTTTATGATAGGTTTAAACGTGTGAAAAAATATCGCAATTACGGGGTCATTACGTAATCAATTTTTCCGTAATTACGGAATTGATTTTTGTCGATTACGTGCAAGCCTAGAGGGGACGCAAGATATTCGAAGGCGAGGATTTTGCGCCGCACGAAGAGAGAAATATAGAAGAGAACTCTCTGTTCATTGAAAGGCAAAATGAGAGAAGCGTAAAAAAGGAAAACGCTCGGCCGCAGATATTTCCCGGGGAAAAATACTCTTTTTTTAGAACGTGGAAAAGCGACTAACGCTGATATATATCGGCCGATTGGGCCGATATGATATATCGGCAAACACGCAATATCGGCCCGATATATCGGTTGGCCGATATATCGGTCGAGCTCTACCGCATACGTTTTTTTAATTAACTCTTGTAAAGACAAAACAAGGCTAGATTACTCAAATCTGTTTCTGCAAAAGAAAATAGTTGTGAAAAACAGTCTTTCGTACTTTACAGGGTTTCCTGAAGCTCTTGTTCCAAAATATTACGTAGGTTGTGTTCCACTGCTACCCCAAATATTTATGTTTGACAAGGATAAGGTATTCAGAACAAGTGCGCCATCCGTCGAAAAATGCATATATTTGTGCGAAGAAAGAAAATTTCCACTCGCGATGAAGAGTCACGAAAAAACTACTTGCCTATGCTTTGAACCGAAGACAGTGTAAGTTAAATAATGTATTAGGACAATCGATTGTTATTACAGGGGATACTTTTCATTTCAAGTGGCGGGAATCGGGGAGTCCGCCGGAGCCGTTCTCGGAGTGTAGTGATATTCAGCGAATCCGTTCTTGTTTTTTTGCCTTAGACATTAGACGACCGCAGCAAATGGGCACCGCAATTAATCACTGGCGTAATATTTGGGGTTTCGAAAGTTATATATTATATTTATTTGAAGCGTGTCATGTTGATATCTTTCTCTCATACTTTACTATCTTACGTAGTAAAGTATGAGGGAACCTGTCGTCGATACAAAGAATCCCACCACTGAGAATATCTCTCAGAGATGATTAAGCGATTGATTACAAACTGTTCGGATAAGATATTAATCTTACAACTGGTGACAATTCCCCGGAGGTGGTAGGCTATATATATAATATTGTACAAACTTTATTTGATACATATATAAGTATTTATTCAGTATTTTTTATTGCAGATTTCGTAATGCCACGGAGTTGGAAACATTACTTAAACAATGTGACGGAAGCAGCAAAGAAAAATCTTTTCATCTTTATCACACTTACCAGGAAAATCGTTTTTGCTCGAGTCGCGCATTTTTAGAACCAAACGAATCTCCTGTGACTGCTCTCGCGAGTCCACCAGGATCGGGAAACACCTGGATGCGATATTTACTTGAAGTCGCTACTGGAATTTATTCAGGCTCATCTTATGGCGATAAAAGGTTGCGTAAAGGAGGTGCGTGCATGTGAAATAAAAGCGAGAGTAATAAAATATTTTGCCGAGTCTTCCGTTAACGTGCGTAGGCAAATTAATCTACTCTTTTAAAATGCCTTCATTTAATCCCACACTCTAGATACCGCCGAGTAAATAAATAACTGTCGGTATTTGATGGTGCAATGTTATTAGTTACCAAGGACTCAAATGAAACTGCAATAATGTTTGAAAATGACGCGTTTCAATGGCTTGTCTTGCTGTTTCCGAACCCAATAATTTTATGCTTCTAAAGTGAACCTGCTGATTCCATAAATAACAACGCACAGTA